AGGGCCCTAGGATTTTTTGAATGGTAAATGAGCATTAGCTTCAAGTTAAAGTAATCAGGTGCATTAGCTCCTAACAAGAGATCCAGCCTGCCTTTTAAAACTTTGAAGCCAGGCATTGATTTCTCCTCTCTAGCTACAAAAGTCCTAGATGATATCTTTTCCCAATATAAGGCTATTTTGTCTACATTGAAGATCTGTTGTTTAGTGTAGCCATTTTCCTCAATTATCCTAGCTAGATCTTCAGGATAACTTGATGCTGCTTCTCTGTCCGCATTTGCTGCTTTACCTTGCACTTTTATGTTATAGGGATGATTTTTTTATTTAAACCTCACGAACTAACATCTACTAGCTTCAAACGTTTCTATTGCAGCTTCCTCACTTCTCACAGCCTTCATAGACTGGAAGAGACTTAGGGATTTGCTCTGTATTTGGCTTTGGCTAACAGGAATGATTTCGCTGATTTGATCTATGTACACCACTAAACTTTTATAATTTCTGTGTTCTCTAGAGTAGCACTTTTATTTTTCTTCAAGGACTTTTCTTTTGCATTCACTACTTGGTTAACTGTTTGGCACGAGGGGCCTTGCTTTCAGCCTATCTCAGCTTGCAACATGCCTTCCTCCCCAAACCTAATCATTTCTAGCTTTTGATTTCAAGTGAGAGATTTGAGACTCTTCCCTGCACTGAACACTTACAGGCCATTGTAGGGTTATTAATTGGCTTGAATTCAATACTGCTGTGTCTCAAAGAATAGGGAGGCCCAAAGAGAGGGAGAGAGACAGGGAAACAGCTGGTTAGTGGGGCAGTCAGAGCACACACAACATTTATCAAGTTCACCATCTTCTATGGGTGTGGTTCCTGATGCCCCCAAACAATTACAATCGTACCATCAAAGATCACTGATCACAAATCATCATGACAGACATAATCATAATCAAAAGTTTGAAACATTGCAAGAATTATCCAAATGTGACACTGAGACACAAAGTGAGCACACGCTATGGGAAAAACAACACTGGTAGACTTGCTCAATGCAGGGTTGCTGTAAACCTTCAATTTGTAAAACGTGCAATACCTGCGAAGTGCAAAAAAGCAAAGTGTGATAAAATGAGGTATGCCTAGGTATAACATATGTATATCTCCTGTTGGTTCTGTTTCTCTGGAGAACCCAGACTGATACAGTATCTTTGTGTATCAAATGGGCATACAACCACACTGAAGCATCCCCCAAGTATCATTGTGAGGCATATGTAAGGAAGCATATTGAAAGCAGACTTTTAAACTACAAAAGCATCATACACCTATTAATTTGACGTATCACTGTTCTCTATGCAGAGAGGGAAAAAATAACAGGCCTCTTTGACTTGAGGAAGGATTTATTTTGCAATTCACAGAGCACAGTGGGGACCTTTTCTGACATTTGACTTTAGGGCCAAGAGATTTTCCCTAAGCAGCTGGGATCAAGGAAAGTGAGAGGAATGTAGCAAACAAAGCTTTGGTCTAATATTTCATTTTAACCAAAAATAACTTATATTTGTAAAGCATGTTAGCATTTACAAAGTACATTTCATAAAGTGCATCTCATTTTATCCTCACAATTCTGTGAGGCAAGTAGTTTACCCCCCATTTTGCAGATAAAGAAACTGAGTATAAGAGAGTTTAGGATCTGGTCTGAGGTCTCACAACATGAGAATACTGGATCTGGAACTCAGCCAGCATCTCTTAGTCCTTACTGCATTCTTTTCTCATTAAGATTTGCTAGCTACACTTGGCCTGGTCTATCAATGCCTTTTTTTTCCTTTTGCATACTGGTTTCAGCTGTAGATCTCATATACTCCTGACCTTTAGGAGAAACCAGCCAGGTTGAGAGGAAAAAGGAAATCTCAAGTTTTTCTTAGGATCCTGATGCATAGATTAGGTGCTGCCCAATACCTTTGAAAAAACAATGAACAAACAAACAGCACATTTGGTGTTTTGTCTCATTGCTTATTGAGGCTAAACTTAGGGTCCTATCCTTTCAGAACAAACACCAACCCAAGGACACCAGCCAAACTTCAGATTCTCCAGATGAGGCAGAAGAATAGAGTCTGGTGGCAGGGAACTTAAGACCAATTTGCACTGACTTCCTAGAATTGGATCAAAAGGAAAACCCCACCTCTCCACACCCAAGCGACAGGATCAGAGGCTATTCCCTTTGCAACTCCCCCTTCCACTGCATCATAGATGAAAAATGGAAAAGTATCTCTGATTGGCTGCAGGCCAAGCATGGGCCAATCCTCATTTGCATAAGATATCAATTCACTTCAGCTTTTGATTGGTCATGGACCAAGCCTCCACTTCAATCCTTCATTTACATAGGGTATAACCAACGGGAAATCTCTAGTGGGTACTCAAACCCCAGAAGACTTTCCTGCCAGGGCCCTTGAGCTGCTTGCTCGGGCCTACTCCCATTCTGTGGATTGTACATTCACTTCTATTGCCTTTCGCTTCAACAGATTTACACTTTCATTGCTGGTTTGTGTGTGCTGTTCAATTCTTTGTTCAACACACCAAGAACTTAGACAAACTCATGATCAGAACCTTCTGTCCAGTAACACAGACACTTAAGAGGCTGCTCATAGGTCAGGGACTAAGGAGAGTATACCCAGTCCTACCCCATCTCAGTCACTGGGACCTTGTTCAGGTCCAAAGGTCTTGATATACACGCATGAAACTTTCTGCAATGCTTCCTTCCTTGGGTCCTGACTGGGGTCCTCAAGGTTGCAGGAGGAAAAAGTGGTCCAATTTGGAAAGCATCTCTCAGGAAAAAAATAATAATGAGACAGCATATGGAAAACAGAGTGAAATTCCTTTAGTGCGGCTCTTTGGAGAGAGATGGGTAATTTACCAAATGCAAGACTTTTCTTGCAGCTGGCTGACACTGTGGAGCACCATGGAGTAATTGAGACTGAATTACAGAGACTTTGATTATGAGACTGGATTTTCTGTAAGGCCACCTAGGTGATACCAGCCACTTGCATCTCCTCCAGTGGGAACGTGAATAGTTCACATTGGCTCAGATTTGCAAATGACTCTTCCCCTTCATTAGCAGCCCCATGGTGGAATAGAATTGGTGGTGAGATTTTAATGAAGCTAAGTGTTTAGATTCTTCCTTGGGGTCACTGATAGTGCCAATAACCATTATTTCCCTTCTTCAGACCAAAAGAAGGGCAGCCAGGTCCTTCAGGGGTCATTCAACCATCCCCTTGACTGTCCTTGTAGTTTTTCCTGAAGATTTGGAGGAATAGAAGAAATGCTAAATGTTCAGAGCTATTTTCCTTCCCTCCTTCCATTGAGGGTCAAAGCTATAAAGCACAAGACAAAGAAAGGGTTGTCTAGCCTGTGACTTAAGAGCCTGGGACAAAATGACAATCACTATAGTGTCAAGAATTCTTCCCCTTAAAGGGTCAGAGCAACCTGGTCTGACTGCTGCTACTGTCTCTTGCCTTGGTGCTCAGTTGAGTACTGCTGGAAATCTTTCTCTGGTAGCAAGTAATTGAGTGAGTCACTGACTCTGAACCTCTAAAACAGAAGCACAGAGTTCCCATGGACGTTATGCTTTGGCCATTGAGATTTTTCCATCTCTGGCTTTTGTTTTTTATGCTTTAATTGTCTTTTTAAAAATAAATAAATAAATACTTTTGTTTGTTGAGAGGCTATTATCAGCTGATCACTAAAAACATGTACTTTTGCATATTTTCTCAATTAATCATCCAAGAATTGAAGGAAGAGGTGTTATTTCCATTTTACTAATAAGGAAACTGAGGTACAGAGAGGTTAAGAAACTTGTCCAAGTTCATACAATAGTAAGTGTAATGGAGCCAGCACTTGACCCCACATCTGATCAATTCCATAGACTACTCCTTACCCCAGACTACATGAACTTCTTTGTGTCCGTGGTGCTTTCTAAACACTGGCCCTGGTGTAGATACAGCTTCTGGAGGTCATTGTATGTTAAATTTTGATTCATGTAGTACCTGTGCAAATAGATTTCTAATAGACATTGTAACGTTGTGATTGCTCACAAGGTGCTTTCGTGTTAGTTATTCCAGGTTTGAAAATTATTTTTTAGCTTAGTAGGTACATGACCTTGAGCAAGTCATTCTTCCTCCAAAGGTCATTATTTCCCCATCTGTAGAATGAGGATAGTGTGAGGAATAAATTACACAATGTATGTAAATATCTTGCAACATCTGACACACAGTAAGAATTTTATAATTGGGGATGGTGATAACACAGATGATGAGGAAGAGGAAGAGGAGGAAAATCGATCATAGTGTGGATCTAAGGAAAAACTGTTGGAAGAAAAAGAAAGAGGGGCCTCTAGAGATGTGCTTTTTTCTCCCAGAAGGGAGAGGCTCTTAGAGGAGAGGAAGTGATTGCCTAGTATATTAGTTAGGGTTTTCCAGAGAATCGGAACCTTAGGGTTGGGAAATGAAGAGAGAGAGAGAGAAAGAGAATGGTTTTATAGAATTGGTTTGTGTGACTGTGGAGGCTGGCACATCCAAAATCTGCAGGGTAGCCAGCAGGCTAGAGACCCAGGGAAGAGTTGACATTGCAGCTCAAGAACAAGGCAGCCAGCTGGCAGAATTCTCTGTTTCTTGGGGAAGGTCAGTCTTTTTTCTCTTAAGGCCTTCAACTGATTGGATGAAACCCACCCACATCATGGCTTACCCATGTAATCTGCTTTACTCAAAGTCTGCTGATTTAAATGCTAATTTCATCTAAAAAATACCTTCACAGAAACATCTAGACTAGTGTTTGACCAAATATCTGGATACTGTGATGTATTAGTCTGTTTTGCATTAGTATGAAGGAATACCTGAGTCTGGGTAATTTATAACAAAAAGAGGTTTATTTGGCTTATGGTTCTGCAGGCTGTACAAGAAGCCTGGCACCAGCATCTGCATCTAGTGAGGACCTCAGGAAGCTTTCAATCATAGCACGCTTGAAGGGGGAGCAAGCATGTCACATGGTAAGAGAGACAGGAAGCAAAGCAGGGCCGGAGGGAGGTGCCATACTTTTAAACAACTGGCTCTTGCATGAACTCACAGAGTGAGAACTCACTCATTACCACAGGAATGGCACCAAGCCATTCATGAGGGATCCACACCCATGACCCAAACACACCTCCCACCGGGTCCCACCTCCAATATTAGGGATCACATTTCAACATGAGATTTGGAGGACCAAGCATCCAGACTATATCATGTGGTCTAGCCAAGCTGACACATAAAATTAACCATCACCACTTGCCTCCCAATTTAAATGTACTTGTTGCTTAAATTTACCAGAACCTCCAGGACAGGGACCACAGTCTTCCCCTATCTAATCAGAGATGAATAGTCCAGCAACCTGTCCTTAGTGTGGCCAGGGCAAAAAGAGGGGGAAGGCACACAGGCTGGCCTTAATGGTACAGTGACTGTTTTTTTGTGCCTGTTTCCCTGCCCAAGGCTCCTTTTCTCTCTGCTCCCCTTTAACAATGTCACCAAACAAACAGAAAAACCAAGGCAGGAGATCGTGGTGGGCAGTTGAATTGCAAGATGGAAGAGTTACTACAAATATTTTGGTCGACCAGCCCCAAGTCATGAAAGAGAGACCAGCCCTCCCCACTGTGCCCTCTCATCTCTGGATGCCCCAAAAGAAATAATCTGGATTATGTGGGCAGCAGCCTCCTGGAGAAACTCCAGTGTTATCTCTGGAAATTCCAGGCATTCCTAACCAGTGGATATAATATCAGGATATAAAGAAATTCTGACAGGTCAAAATGATGGTCTAATTCCAACAAAATGAACCTTAACAGAAATAAATGTACAGTCTTTCATTTAGGACCAAAACAAAATAACATAAAATAAAACATCTACTAGGAAGGATTCAAGGAGACCTTCCCATTTAAAATTGCACCTGGCTAACATTTCTCAGTGAAGCCTTTATCAACTTCCTCACTAAAACACTCATGGAAACATCGATAAGGATGAAAATCACGACACTGAAAACTAAGACTGATGGAAAACTTAATGACAGAATCTGGAGGGAATCTCTGCTTTCAAAGTGGCAAGCAGAATTGAGATAGAAAAAATATTCCCAGGTTTCATCTCATATCACATGGAAGCTCTGCCTTACTGTGGCAGAGCCTGTTGGTGCTCACCCACATCTGTGCTCTCCTCTGCTTCACGGACCCACAGAGCCACTGTATTTTACAGCCTCCCTTATAGTTGGGTCTAGCAATATGCCTGAGTTCTGGCCAAAAAATATGAGCACAAGATATGAGGGTCACCTCCCAAGCACAATACTTCATACTGTCTTTCTCCGTTCTCAGACTGAGTGGAGACGGTCCCAAAGACACAGAGGATGGTGGAGACACAGATAGAAGAAGCCCAGGTTCCTCTGTGAGTAAGTTGTCCAGAACCTGGACCCTGCTTCACTCCCCAACACCAGTACACACTGTATTGTGATGTGCATGAGAAATTATCTTTTACTATGTTAAAACACTGGGATTCTGGAATTGTTTGTTATAGAATAGTGTCTTCCTTGATATACTCACAAAATGGAGGTGACCTAGAAAGTTCACAAGATATGATATATCTGTCATTCTCTGGCTACTAATGGACCCTATCAGTGCATATAAGAAAAGGTTCTAGCTGGAGTCAGCATCAGGAAACACGTTGGCAGCTGTACATACTGCTTATTGTAATTTTCCACTTATTCATGCATTTAACAAATATTTATTATGTACTTACTATGTGCCAAGCTCTGTGTAAGTATTGGGGGTGCACAAGTAAGCAAAGCAGACATGGGCCTGCCCTTATATAGCTGACAGTCTGGTGGGATACCAAACATGAAACAAATTATTACTATATGAGTGGTTATTATGAAAGGAGACATTATAGGCCACCGTTGGGAAGAGGGGTCTCACCTAGACACTAAGGAGATCTAGTGTTTTTACCTATATAGCACATCAAAGAACCAGGAAATGTGAGCAGGAGAGCCTGTGTGGCTAGGAAGTAGATGGAATCATATACATCACTCAGTCCACTGACTTGCTCCAGTGGACAAAAAGGAGGCCAAGATGGTTCACATACTCTGCCTATAGGAAAACATCAGGTCTGGAAGATCTTGCTTTGCTCAAGGTGAGTAAGAGAAACTGTCTGATAAGGAGCTCAAGATACAAGGAAAATATCACCCAAGAGACTAAAAAAGAGGTATGCTGGTGAACACATGCAGAGCTCTGAGGCCAGGCAGGGGGTAGGTAGGGCAGAGAGGAGAGATCACATTTTTTTCAGTTAGAAGTATGATAAAACTATAAAAAGCATATTAAATCACTTATAAAAGAAAAGTTATTTAATCTGCAATCATATAAGGCAGATTGTTTTAAAGATCTTTTCATCAAGACAGAAAATTAAGACCAACTCATTCTCTAGTTTTCACTTAAACACACTAGACCACTAGACCTCACTTCCTTAGTGTCTAGGTGAGACCCCTTCCCCCTAAGGTGGCCTATAATATCTCCTTTCATAACATTCAGTCATACTAGTAATAATTTGTTTCATCTTTGGTATTCCACTAGACTGTCAGCTATACAAGGGTAGGCTTCATGCCTATTTTGCTTACTGCTCTATCTCCAACACTTAGCACAGAGTCTAGCATGTAGTAAGTAAATAATAAATATTTGTTAAATTAATGAATAAATGGAAAATTACAAAAAGCAGTATGTACAGCTACCAAGGAATTTCCTGTTGCTAATTCCAGCTAGATCCTTTTCTTATGTGTACTAGTAGGGTCTATTAGGAACCAGAGAGACAGATGTATCATATATTGCAAACTTCTTAGGTCATTGCTATATCCAAGTAATTTGTGTAACCATCATTTTTGTCACTCTGCTTTTGTACCTCTTAAAACGATATACTACTGGAGCCAGAAGAAAAATTCCAGAAATTACCTGACATTTATAATAGATGCAAAAAGACAGTGCTTCTAAACAATATGAACAAAACTCAGGACATGATGAAACTAAAATAACATGGGTAAAAGAAATATATATATATGGAAGAATTTGAAGGAAATAAATACATACATAGATTAGAAGAGTTAAAGTGTACTTTGGAGTTAGTAAAGAGGAGTACCTTTATTGTGGAAAGTGGAATAATAATTTGACAGTCTAGTAGGATACCAAACATGAAACAAATTATTCCTATATGATATATTATTCCTATATTAATTTATATTAATTTAGAGGCAAAGAATGAAGAGATAAAAGTGAGGGAGGGAAGAAGAAGACCATAAGAAGACTGTAGGCATGTTTTAATGAATTGGGAAGGGGGAAAGAGTAAGCAATTGTTAAATTTTAGTCACCCAAAGACAAAATTTGGAATACGAAAGATAATGTTTCACTGTTTACTTAAAACATTCTGTTAAATATAAAAAGTACATTTTTAAAATTTAGGAGAATTCAATATGGTACCACTGCATTCAAACAAAGGAGATGACAGGAATAAAAGAATAAAAAAGAAGTCCAAATACCAAAAAATAAAAAAGGCATCATGAGCAACAAATGCATACATGGTGGGTGTTTGTTTTTTCTGGGAGCTCAGCATATGGCAGGTCTGACTCCCAGAATGGAAGATGATGGGGGAAGATCATCATTTTCCAGGCACTTGGCCCTGGACTTCATTCTTAGCAGTTAGATGCTACAACCTGAGGCTTTGAAAGGAAGGAGTGACACAAAGTATACTTATAGTCAGAGATTATTTGGGCTTGGCTGCTGTGAGATCAAGAGTCCAGCCATAGAGTGGAAGTAAGAAGAAATAGCAGAGTTGAGGGGTGGCAGCAGCGAGGGATCAGCTGCAGTGCCTTCCCACATCCTTTTGCATAATTTCTGCTCTGCCTTACCTTCCACAGTTCCTATTTATTCTCAGAACTTGATTTTCTCTTTCTAGATATCCCTCCAGTACTTCCTTTGTCTGCCTGTGTTATATTAGGTTTCTGTTGTGTGCAAACAAGAACCCAACTGCTATAGCATAAAGCATGATAGCAGTAAACACAAATGTGTTCCTTATAACAATAAAAATAGATGGATCAAAAATCCTCTTTGAAAGACAAAAAAATCTCAGGTTGATTTTAAAATGTTAAATGAGTTATTACAAGAGAGATATCTAAGTCAAAATAGCTCAAAAAGATGAAAAGAGTTGGTAAAGATATATCAGGTAAATGCAAATAAAGGAAAGCAAAGGTGGAATGTTACTACCATTAAAGTAGAAGTTAAGCAAAAAGATTAAATAGGATAAAGAGGTTAATTTTATATTTTTATTTATGTTTAATCACACAAATTATTATTATGAGAACAGGTTGTTATAAAAATTAAATCAATACAGAAATATTTTTAATGTGAAAATTCCTTCTTCTAGTCTTTGAATATTACTCCCTTCTTAGAAGGTAAACTTCTGTTCAGTCGTTAGTGTGTATATTTCTAAAACTCTATGCGTGTATATACTCACATACAAATATATGACTTTGAGGATTTTGTTCAATCATAGCTGTGATCATGTGGTATGTCATAGCTATGGCAGTTGAAGTGCAATTCTGAGAACTGGCAACAGCCTCCAGCCACAGCGTCTTCAGGCCTACTTTAGTGTTTGAGCCAAAGTTATGCTCTCACTGGGCTGCAGCCAGCCAATCACTGAGCACAGAGGGGCTCCTAGGGTCTGGACATTTCTTCCCAGGGCAGGACTCTTCTATGAGTGATCTTTATACCAAGTCCCCCTGATGCACCAGCTAAACCTTTCTCGGAGCTGCAGTGCAGCCTCTGGCTCTTCCTGCCTAATCTCCCTTCCTTCCTCCTCTTCTTTCATGGCATCATGTCTGCAAAATGGTTTGAAAGTTTTCCTGTCTACTCCAGATTTCTCTTCCCTTTATCTTTCATGAGCATCTTTCCAATGAATCTCTTGCACTTCTAACTCCTTTTTGACATCCGAATAATACAATTCATACTAAAAGTAGTCCAACAAAACAGGGACAGAGATGAGGTTTTAAGACTGAATCACTCACTGCTCAGCAAGAAGGGAGGACCCTATTGAGTAGTATGTCAATCAGATAATATTGTGTTCATGATAATGTGCCCACAATCTAGGGCTTAAGGAATACTTAATAAAACCAACAATATATTAGGACGTAAAAATAAATAAGTATATTTCAAAAAGCAAAACTTCTATAGGACACCGTCTCTGGTCACAATATAATGAAATTGAAATTAAGAACACACACACAAGCACGTATAAAAAGCCCCTAACCACTTTGAGGTTAAAAAAAAAAAAGGAAATATTCTGAAATAACTACTAGATCAATGGTGAAACCAAAACCACAATTATCAATTATTTAGAAAATAAGAATAGTATATACCATCAGTAATAAATAACCTACCAACCAAAAACAAAAAAAGCCCAGGACTTGATAGATTCACAGCCAAATTTTACCAGATGTACAAAGAAGAGCTGGTACCATTCCTACTGAAACTATTCCAAAAAAACTGAGAAGGAAGGGCTCCTCCTCAACTCATTCTCTGAGGCCAACATCATCCTGATCCTAAAACCCGGCAGAGACACAACAAAAAAGAAAAATCTTCAGGCCAATATGCTTGATGAACATCGATGCAAAAATCCTCAATAAAATACTTCAAACTGAATCCAGCAGCACATCAAAAAGCTAACCTACCATGATTAAGATTAAGTTGGCTTCATCCCCAGAATACAAGGTCGGTTCAACATACACAAATCAGTAAATGTGATTCATCACATAAACAGAACTAAAGACAAAAACCACAGAATTATTTCAACAGATGCAGAAAAGGCTTTCAATAAAATTCAACACTCCTTCATACTAAAAAACTCTCAATAAACTAGGTATTGAACCAATATAACTCACAATAATAAGAGCCATCTATGACAAACCCAGAGCCAATATCATACTGAATGGGTAAAAGCTAGAAGCATTCCCCTTGAAAACTGACACAAGGATGCCCTCTCTTACCACTTCTATTCAACACAGTACTGTAAGTCATAGCCAGAGCAATCAGGCAAGAGAAAGAAATAAAGGACGTCTAGACAGTAAGAGAGGAAGTCAAACTATCTCTGTTTGCAGATGACATGATTTTATATCTAGAAAACTCCACAATTTTGGCCCAAAAACTCCTTCAGCTGATAAAAAACTTCAGGAAAGTTACAGAACACAAAGTCAATGTACAAAAATCACTAGCATTCCTATACATCAAAGCAAGTCAACCCGAGAGCCAAATCAGGAAGGCAATCCTATTCACAACTGCCACAAAAATAAAATGAAATACTTAGGAATACAGCTCACCAGGGAGGTGAAAGATCTCTACAATGAGATCATTGAG